GCACACAAATATATATATATATTTTTGTTTTTGAATCAAACCAGTTAAACTACCATACTGGCCTAAGAAATATTTAAAACAAAACAATTTTTCACTCACATACATAAAGGTTTATAAAAAAATTTCTTAAAATTTGTTAGGGTTCCAAAATGATATCATGTTACCAGTATTTTCATAATTTTCATTTTTTCTTTATAATAATATCAAGTTCATGTAATAAAGAAAAGTTCTAAGTAAAAAAAAGTTCCCATGATGATGGAGAGGTGGACAGCATTAAATTCATGATATATATACAAAGAATTGTTTAACTGGTTTGATTCAAAAACAAAAATTTAAAACAAATCAATCAAGAATATCATACTGGCCTAAGAAATATCTTGACAAAATTTTGGACTTCATTACAATAAGAAGAAAATAACGAGACTGATCAGCATATTGTATACACAAACAAGTCAAGGCAACTTATTTCACATAGCATTATCAGCTTTAGCGACAGTGAAAGGCATATTTATACAAAGGCTATACAAACAACAAGAAGCTACACTTTCTTTGGTCAGTTGAAGATTAAGTTAATGTAGGCTCATGTTTTGACCATTTGAAGTCTTCAGGTTGAAGTTTACATACCACTCGTTCCCCATCCAAAACAGCCATTACTACAGCATTATCACTAGAGTGGTTATTTTGGTCCAGTGCTAGACAATTATCACTACGATCACCCTTTGAGTAGTCTGCCACTGTAAAATCACTAGGATAGCTATTTTGTCCTTTGGCCATGAATTTGTTACCTAGGTAACAATCTGAGTTCATAACATTTGTACCATAGCATTTAATGGGGTCCACTGACACGGTGTTGAAACTAGGGTAGTTTGTTGTGTTAATTGTTAAGACCTCATTCTGAGGATACAGATTTTGAGTCACTGCAGGTAAAAATCTTTGTTGACGGTGGTAAGACAGACTAGTTAGTTGACCATCACTGAACTCGCTGCTTGGAGTGGTGGAATGAGCAGGTAGAGTAGATGAGGAACTGTTTCCCTTCATATCTAAGGAACTGACTGATGAAATGTCTGAATCTAGAGGACCTGGCTTTGGGTAACTTGTTTCATCTGGATAACAGTGGGGCATGGAGTGCTGACAATCACTAGGTATGTGACCCAGGTTAGCAGGACTGTTGGTTAAATGAGCTGGGAGTAGTGGGCGCTGATCACAGACAATGCTTGATGTTGACTGATGACTAGGGCTATAATTGTATCTATATTGTCCATCAGGTGACATTTGATTGCAAGAAACTGAAGGTTGGTAGCACTTATATGATGAAGATAGGGATTCCTGGTCAGTGTCAATAGACTCATAGATGTGGTCCAAGAATGGGTTCATTCTTTGATTCATATCTGATCGATGTATGACACCTTGCTCTTTATATAAACGATAAAGATCGTATGCCTTCATTGGGTTCTCAATCACACTTCCAGCAGCTAGAGGTCTGTGCAATCTAGTAATTGTCTGTCTTCCATCTTGTTCTGATAAGTTTTCATTAAAGATACAGTTTCCAAGACTGTTTCTCAGGTGAGACTTACTAGTGAGATTTTGTGATGACACACTGCTGTTCTGTGATGATCTTCTGTTCTGATTTATTTTTCTAGAGGTTGCAGGATCTGCAAGGTCATGGGAAAAAAAAAAGAGCTATAACATGGCAAGAAGCTATCCATTTAGGTTGTTAGCAGCTATAATCCAATTACAAAATATGCACTTATTACCTTCTCTAATGATGTGTGTCTTGGTTAATTTTGAGATATTTTTAATTTTATAGGAGGACAGACAGTTAAAAAAAATGTTATGAATTATACCTTAGCTGAATTATACATTTTGGTGCATGAAATGAGCTTAAAATAACTTATGAAATACATAATGATAAATCTTAATGTTTGTATAAGATTCTAATCGGAGAAGAGAACAAATTTGTAAAATTAAGACAGCATGAATAAAATAGTGTGTAAAAGAATATGCACACATCACTGACAAAAAATACATTCCACTAACCTTCTGTTGTGTTGAGTAAAGATGAACTAACCAATGGCGTATCATGTCCTAAAGTTATAATCCATGAATGAGGAGGAGACTGAAAATAAACAAATTATGATTTTTATTATTTTAAAGTGGTTTAAGATAATGGAATAAATGATATTGTTAGAACAAGATAATTATTCTGTATGCAAAATTAGAAAAATATGTTATTGCTGTTGAAGTATGAGTGGAACAGCCACCATTAAAAAAAAGTGGGGGGGACATACCCTCCATAAATTACAGCTATGAGTCATATATTTTTCTCATCCAATATATAAAATAATGCAACCCATAAATGCATATAAATTGTTTTATAATAGAATCAACAAATACATAAATCATAGGAATTTCTCTACTTTGCACTTTTTAAAGATAACATTGCACACATAATATACACAATGCATATATTAAACAACTATTATCAAGTGATTGCACTCTATTGGCTCTTATTACTCCAATGAAATTTCAGAAATACAAAACACTTTTCATTCTGATAATACTAACCAAACTACTACCGATAAAACTCAGCATTTAACAGAAAAACGGTTTAATAAAATAGACCTTTTGATTTTTAGAGAAAAGGAGAGAAAAATGGACACCACTCTTCCCTCAATGGCCAATTTTTGTTAAAAATAAAAGTTTGAAAAACACTACATCTTTAACTGATAAATAAAGAATTAAAATATATACATATATATATCTGTTATAATGGTTTTAAAAATTATTACATTGTCTCAACAAGTTCAGTTTGTGCAAAATTAGATAAAATAGATATTAGAAAATCCAATAGTTTAAGCAATATTTAAAATACACTATTATGTCATTTAAGTGGGTGTTTGACCTCATACTGAAAATTATACCTGTGACACTCTGTATTGCAGTCTTTCAATGTTATTCTTATCTTGTCCATTTTGCTTTAATTCATACATTGCACTTAATACAATAGCATATACTGACTATCTTTTAATCCTAAAGGAGAAACATTGTTTAAAATGTCACACTATTACATGGTATAATCTGATAACTATCAGTGTATTAGATATACATTAGTTTGGTACCAAAAGCATTATCCCTCAACATTTAAAACAAGTTGAGGCCCATGACCTCTTATATAACACATACAAATAGTTATATTGTGTATGTAACCTTATTTTTACTCCCTCAAAGCCAAAGAATTTAAAGCTCACTATATTTCTTCTTCTCTGTTTAAGAAAAGGCCTTCAATCAAAGGTTTGATTAGCTCAAGGATTTCAAAGTTACCCTTTTACAAGATATGTTGTCATGTGAATGGTTGTGATACTGATATGAACAGTACCCTAAATAATGTGAGATATATTGAGGTGTAACAGGCATTTAGTTATCTTAGAATGTGAGCCTACTAAACAAAAATAAAGAAAAACCTTTTTTTCACACACATACATTTAAACACATTAATTAATCTTTTTTTTAAAAAAACAACATAGAAAAACTCTCACAAAGAAGAGGTATAAAAGGGATGCCAGGAAAGCAGATAGAGTATAATTTCAAAAATATATATAGGAAAAAAACCATCACGCAAATAAGTTGAGAAAAATATTTGTACAGTGGTTCAGATTAAAGTAAATCTAGTATATCAGTAGTTTAAGTGTTTTATCAGATGTGTGTGTGTCTGGATGCTCTGAGAGATATATTGGTTTCGAAATGGACAGAACAGGTAAACTTTATGTATATTTATACTGTGTATGAAGAAGTTCTTACACTGTGTGAACAGGCTGGCTGTGTAGTGGATGAGGTAACAATGCTAGATTGTTGTTCCTGGGTTTTTTGTTTACAAAGGCAGTCAGGAAGCCAATCTGATTGATGGATGAGTTTCTGGTATTCCTTCTGAACCTACAAAAATTGATCAAGAACCACAAGTAGAAAAGTAGTATTGAAAAGTGATAAAAATTGCATAAAGAGAGAAGGTAAAATAATAGATACATGGTTAAGATGTATAAAAACATGGTTCCTAGTAAGATAATATGGACAACTGGCTGAGTAAAAATACATAAACGTATAGGTAACTGATTATAACTGGGTGATTAACTTCATGTAGTCAATTACCTATGATCATCAATTACATTGATTAGTGTGATGTAAAAATAATCAGTTAATCAAAATTATAACTAAATTGATTAATGTCACAAAAATAACTAACAAACCTAAATTATTGCTACTGTAAATGAAATCTTGCCATTACGATTTCTAATTATTATTTTTGATTAATACAAGGTTGTCCAGCCTAATTTATTAATGTCATGACTCATAAAAATGATTAAATAATCAAAATTAACATTCTAATTAATTACTACTTTTGATTATTCCAACTATTAAAATCTCATCTGATAATAATTGATTACTTGAATGTAATTATTTAATGAGCCTTATGATTAATCACTTAACAAATTCCACTAATTGCCCATCTTTAACGAGCATTGATTAGATTGATGAGTATCAAGTAAAATAATAAATCAAAATTACAATTAAATTGACAAATGTCAACAAAATAATCAATTAATCTTAATTAGAGTTTTCAATTATTACAATTTTTGAGTATTTCAACTACCAATTCTCATATGAGAATAATCGATTAATTGAATGTAAGTGATAATGAACCCAATTATTAATCAATTATTAACTTCAACTAATTACCCAGATATATAGGGGGTATGGATTTCTAGTATGGCATAAATATATAATAAAGATATAGAGACACATGGCCAAATGGAACTGATAGTTAAGTAGTATAGGTATAAAATATAGGTACGAGGTTGAATTATCAAGGTGTATACTATGGTCATAAGTAGCACAAGTAAGTGATACTATTATGTAGAAGCATGAGTATTTTCCATAAACGTAGTATGCTTTAAATATTTGATTATGACTTATGTAACACATATTTTGTACTTATAATATATTGGGTAAATGTATAATATTTAAGCTACATGATAATTCAGAATTAAATTAATTTGACAAAGTTTCTGGAAAGTAGATTTTATTGAAAATAATATACAATGCATTATTGTAAGCTACATTTTAAATATTTTAATTTTATTTTATTGTTGGTTTCTTTTTGCTAGAGGGAGCTAATCACAATAATGGTGCAATGTATCTAAAAATTTTATGAAAGTTAAGGCCTCTGTAGAATCTGTAAAATTTTTTGCAGTATGTAGAAATAAGGGTAAGATATAAATACAAGAATAAGTGAAGCAATTAGTTAATACATACTTAATGAGTGATATAGTTCATTGTTAGTAGTGAGAGTTATCACATGTATTCAGTTACTTAGTGAAGAAATTTTATAAATTAAGCATATGTATGATTAACCTTGGAGTTGTTTGTAAAACTAGGCCTTATAACTTGTGTCAAAGGGAACATAGCCTGTAGCAAAAGCTATTTAATAAATAAATGAATTCGTTATCATTACACAGACTAGGCTAAGCATTATATTTACCAAATAATCTAAAATACCTACCCAAAAATAGAACATGTTACAACAGTATTGTACATGTTCTCCTAACGAAAGATTAAAATTATTTGGTCTTACTTATTGTATGATTTTACATAGATACAAGCAATCCTGTAATTATGCCTCAACTTTCAGATAAAGATTAAATTAAATCACTGCAAGTGGAATTATGTTATCAACAGGATTCTGATGATTTGTGATGTCAGCTAAGAATTAATATGGTAGCAATTAGGAAATATAGTTCTAAAATTTACCTTTTTATTTCTGACACAGTGAAAGAGGAAGATGAAAAGCCCTTGAAGACTGTTAAGTATGGTAAATATATATGCAACAATGACAGATTCTTTGTTCAAATACAGCAATCCAAAAGTCCAGGTTAGGCCTAACAACACAACAAGTGTTGTTGCTCCCCGAATCCACAGCCTATTAATTGTGAACCATTTTTATCTTTAGTGAATCTGAATGTCTTAAAATTTTCAAAAGTTAATAAAGTTATTTACATGAAAATTAAATTATCTAGATAAATATAAAATCTGACATAAAACCGAAATAAGCAAGCTTGGTAGATGCACATAATATACAGCAAATATTTCCATTTAAATAAAAATTTAATGCAAGGAAATAAACATATATATTAACTGTGGTAATAAGCATACCTATACAATCAAACCAAACCTATTTATTGTGTTCTTTAGACATTGTTAAAAGGTCAAACATCAAAATTTATGAGCAATTTGTCTACATTATCATGCACTGATCGCAAAGATTGCTTGAATAAGGAAATGATAGTAATTTTGTAAAGCTGGTAGGTGGTGTAATTTTAAAAGTAAACTGGTGGATAACAGTTTTTTAATTCTTATATGGACATATTACAGCTTCAAAGTACAGAACAAGGATCATAAAGTTGATCACATATCGTAGTAAAACCAAAAATGATTACAAGAAACTAAACAAGTAAGTCTGATCATTGTGCTATATATATAGCTTATATATGGGTGCTAATTTCTCTTCAGACATGGTCAACCTGTATCTGTTCTTCTATGAAAAATCATTTTTCAAACAGGTATTAAACTCCAATTTATACACCCATACTTTTCATAACATTGATGATTTAATCTACATCAACAACTTGAATTTTATTCCAAACTTAATTTATTCAAAAAAACTTATACTAGAAAGAAGCAATAGTAATAACATTTATGCTAGACTTAGATATTAATTTAGTAGAAGGCAGAGTATATCTGATTATTTTTAATAATATTGTTCTGTTTATACTGTTAAAAGGTATTATTGTATCTCAATTAAAAAGATTTTTAACAATTTGCAACAATACTTAATTCATTTATGAATAATGTTAAATTGTTCATAAATAAATTGAAAGTTAACGGTTATAAGGATTGGCATATGAAAACATTTTGTACACTATATGAAGTTATTTTATAAAGTGAATTCTCAATTATGGAAACTACCTTGTGGAGAACTTCAAGATCATTAGTTTCTTAAGGTTATCCTTGGCTTATAAGTAACTAGCTTGAAAAAGTTTTTGTTTGATTTTTATTTTACAGACCAAGTTGGAAAGACTAACTTCAGGTAGCTGGGCTTGTGTCAGCTCACCTGGGTTATACTTGAATGAATCTTTATGAAAAAGGGAGGAGGTTGGGAGATTTACTTGTAGAATATTTAGGGTGCTTTTATTTCTACTTTAAATTTTTTTCTGAGTATTAAGGGTAACTGCTTTCCCACAACTGGCCGCAGAAAGCGAAAGGCAGTAGGAGTTGAGACAATGTGGGTGTAAGCACTCAACTCCTAACCCTTAACTGATTTTCATTAGCTGCTGGCTAGTTTAACATAAGTGTCTAAATTTTGTCTGATAGAAGGAACATCTCCAACACATTTGAGTGCTATGACCATAGACATTAACCATTATGACTTAACGCTAATAACTATGATTGATAATAGAAAATAATTGTTTAATTTTAGTTCTATTGCAATTTTTGTTTTATATTAAGTTCATTATTGTTCCATAGTGCTGATTTAACCACCTATTGACAATCAATGTAACAAGTATTATATATACACACACATGTACATACATACAAATATATATATATAATTATATTCCGATATTAAAGAAAAATCTTGCATATACTGACATGACATCATTAAAATTGTTATAACAATAAAGTGAAAATAAAAAATCTTGCATATACTGACATGACATCACTAAAATTGTTATAACAATAAAGTGAAAATAAAAAATCTTGCATATACTGACATGACATCACTAAAATTGTATAACAATAAAGTGAAAATAAAAAATCTTGCATATACTGACATGACATCACTAAAATTGTCATAACAATAAAGTGAAAATAATGCAACATTGAAATAATTTTGAGCTGGCACATGCTGAGAGTTAATGCAAGCTTACGTGATTAAAACCTTATGGAGAGATGGGTCTTCAGGATCACTGAGACAAGCATACAATAGAAGGTTAATTGAAACTGTGTGAAAAGTGGAATTAGCAAATGTGTTGATCCTTATTTCAGAATTTAATTCTCGTTAGAGGGTTTTTACAAACAAATAGAAGTATTATACAAATATTTTGTTACATAATCTTATGACCTAAAATACGTTCTACAGCAAGACAATATCAAAAAAGGTTTTTTTAAATATATATATATTTTACAGAGAAGAACAAATACAAACTGTTTTAGAAGTTTTATCAGGTTATGAAACAGAAAATATGTATCCCATAACTTGTAGCTAACAGAAAGTATGTATCCCATAACTTGTAGCTAAAATTGTTGTACATATAAAAAATATAGAAAAACTCCCATTGCTGCAACCCAAAGCTGTACAACAAAATTTTCTATACATAAAAGTACAATTTTTGAGAAAACTATCACCTTTACCCATTTCTTTTTTAACTACAAATAATGTGTTATCATTAACAAATATAATAAATATTAGATTCTTTACATGACATGTTTAACAGACCAAAAGTTCAAACAGTTTTACCTTAGTTTTGTTAACCTTGCTTGTTCCTTTGCCTTTATGGCTGTTTTCAAGTTCCCATGACGACACATAACAAACACTGCGATGCTCAAGAATACCATATTGGCCTAAGAAATATTTAAAATAAATCAATTAAGAATACCACATTGCCATAAGAAATATCTAAAACAAATCAATCAAGAATACCACATTGCCATAAGAAATATCTAAAACAAATCAATCAAGAATACCATATTGCCATAAGAAAGATTTAAAACAAATCAATCAAGAATATTTCGGCTTCTATCGTCTAAGATGTAATCAGTATATCCCAAGAAAATCTTAGCAGTAAAGTCATTGTATAGAATTTTCTTTAACTTGGAACGTTTATGTATCCTACAACTGTTAATTATCAGTGTCATTTTTTCTTTGTCGTTTGAACGTACTGTAAACAAATAATACTCGGTGTAATATTACTAGTAATTGTATCAGTAATAGTAATACATATACTCAATTTTTATAATGTTAATGATACTTCAGTAAGTTGAAAAAAAAACTGCTTTGCTGGAGTACATCATTGAGTAGTAATGTGTGTGTGTGATACTACACCGTAGTATGACTGGTAATTTAACACAACATATTGACCTAGCAGTGGTTTTCCAGTTACAAGATAGTGTAATAACATTTGCACTATACCAAGGCATCAGAAAAAGAAAAGAAAAATAAAGACATAATTGAAATATTATTATAAATTCTTCTTAATGAAAACTCGTACTCAGTCAGCAAATATTAATGCGATTCTAAATTTTATCAGCCTTCTTATGATATAATGATGTTTTCCTATTACTATGTTAACTTGGTGTGACTGTGTAACGTTTATAAATAATTAACTAACTTACTAACTTCTCTTTCATTTGATATCAAATTATTGTAAATGGACCTGGTGGCTAGGGCACTCAACTCGCAAATTGCGGATCACAGGTTGGAATTCCGTCACCAAGTATGCTCGCCTATTCAGCTTTTGGGGCATTATAATATAATAAATAATTTTTTCGTTGGAAGAAAAAAAAAAGAGTAACCAAAGAGTTGGCAGTGTTGACTAGCTGCCTTCCCTCTAGTCATTTACTGCTAAGTTAGGGACGGCTAGCGCAGATAGCTCTTGAGTAGCTTTGCGCAGAATATAACAAAACAACTATATTGTTATTGCAAGTATTGTATTCTAACTGCTGCTAAAAGCACACGATGTTTATCAATTCCTTAAGCTCAAAGCGTTAGTATCGATCTCAACCATAAGAAAAAAAAAGACTAAACACTTGTTAGTTGGATTTTAACAACAAAAAACAACACACCTTTAATTTTGATTTCAATCTTTACAAAGATACACAATACATGGTCTTTTCTGTTTCCAAATGCGATAAAATCAATCATTTTGAGGCTTTAACACCTAAAGTTCTATACACTTTACATGCTATTCAGAATTTAAGAAAATTTTAAACAACAAAACACCTACTATATATATTTAGTATCTGAGCAGAAATAAAGAAATATTTACATAAAATGTTTATGTACAGTACTTCACACATTTTGTAGTAATATCCTACTCTTGGTGTTTATTTTCACCGTAGATATTTAAAACGACAGCAACAAAAAACACACACAAAACGCGGTACATTCAAGGGAATAGTAATAAATTAAAAGAAGTCGACATTTTAGAGACAGTATTTAACATCTTAGAAAGTCGGTTAGGTGAAAATTCGGAAACCCTTGAATAATAATCCGTCAAGCGTATTATTTGGTTATATGTCACCATTTAAAAAATTATCATACACGCGTTATTCCTGAAAACTTTATTGTAATAGTTAATTAACTACGGAAATATTAATGAAGAAACTAGTTTTGTATTTCAAATAATAAACTATTTTTTAAAACGCACTATATTAAATAAGAAATGAAATTACACAAACAAACAAAAAACGTTAAACTTCAATATTTTTGCAAAGTGGACTGGATAAATTGAAATGTATGTGAAACACGCACATATATAGCATTACTTGGGGCTAGTTTTATATGGTCGTTTTGTTACAAATATAACCATCAGCTTTTTGGTGTTAAATTGCAGAAACAGATAAGGTAGAACATATATTCTTCCACATTGTAAAATAGGCATGAAAAAACACCAAACTAAAGTTAGAGGAAAGTATTAAATCATCACGTTAATTGTGCATAAATGTATGTGCTTGGTTGTTGTGTTAATACAAATAAAATGATGCGAAAACAAAAACTTATTAAAAATACACATAGCTTATTAGATTCAAAAGTAAAATTATATTTAGATGAGGTAGACAATAATTTACGTCAAAAAATAGAAATTTATAGTTACTAATAACTAATATTAAAAGATGATAAAAATGAACATACTAATTGAAAGTGAAAATTAATTTAGTTTATGGAGTAATGATCATAATAAAATATAAAGTTATCGATTACTCAAAAATGTTACTTTTATATACATAAACAATGATACAGTATGATCACAAAAAGTATATGGGCTATAAAAACGAAGGATTAATCTACCTTCTTTAAATCATTATCAATTATACTATTATTTTAAAGTTATTTTCCTCAATGCGCCCAAAATTTCATACTAATGTCGATCATTGGCTGAAACTAATTATTCAAGATTTAAGCAAGCAAAAAAAAAAAAAAAATTGAAATTTCTAAATTATATTCGGGTTAAAAGTTTCGTTTTCATGATTGAAACTCAAGTATGGGAATAAAAGCTTGCAAGAGTCTATTTATATTTTTTTAATGTTATTGAATATCAAAATAAATAATTGGTTATATTACCGATTTATTTTTCAAAGTTAATTTACAAAGTCAAAATTTACACAAATACTAAGTCTTAAACTAATTTATCTAGTATCGTCTTTCTTATGACCTGAAAATAAATACACAAATTAAAATACCAAATACTTCTCAAACAGTATTGAAATATATACATTCTCGTAAAAGATATATAAACATCTTGGGATGTTTAATATTTATAAAATATTTTGTCTGTTAAATACAGTTGCTATTATAATCAATTTCAAATAAAATTATGGAGTCGGTGGAAACTATATGCTAAAGTTGAAAATAATGAATATTTGTTTCTTTCTTGTTTATGTAGCTAGTTGAAAAAACTTAGTATCTATTTTTCTTTCTAATATTTGTATGTTAAATTTAATCAACTACGAACTTATCGAACATTAATCAAATTACATGCCAAATAACTTTAGTCATTTGTGTAAAGTATCTGTTAGAAGTACGTATATACTTAACAAACATTACCTTTTTAAGATTTCACTGCTTATCCAAGTTAGTTTAATACTAGCTATAGATACTTTTACAAATAATTGTAATCATTTTATTATGTTAGTTTTATTACCAAATATATCGAAGAAAAATGTGCTTTTTATTATAATTTCCATACAAGAGCGCCACACGTTGGAAAATTTAAAAATGATTATAATATAAATCTCTATTGTTATTAGTATTTTAAGTTTACAAATTTACTTTATTTCGTAGTCATTACCTCTCTTAAAATTTCAAATTCTAAACAATTATGACTCACTAGAGTTTGTTTGTAGTTAAGCACAAAGCTATACAAGGGACTATCATAGTCCATAGACTTACCACTGAACAATTGGGGGAGTTTTAACTAAAATAAAAGAAATGGATACTATTAAAGTGATAATTTTTCAAGCCCCCAATGAATTTCAAACAGTTCATAATTTAATACTTTTATAGCTTCGTATTTCTGACTAAATTTAAAAAAAAACTCGAAGTGTAAACAGATACTATCTCTTAACTAATTAATTCACCAACAGAATTATCATAATTCATTAACATTAAATAAGTTCTAGCATCGCCTTCTCTAACCCTAAAAACTGATTAAAATACCAATTGTTCAAGTATTATATAATGAAGCATATATTTTAATAGCATCATTTTTGCTTTTCCAATAAATTAGGATTACTATATACTATGAAAGCAAAATTCACATCTAATGACACAATATATTTTAACCCTTGTTTTGTTATCTTACCATTTCCTTCTTTTTAAAGTTAATTCCTTAAATAGTAATGTCATCTTAGCACAGAATGACGTACTACATCATGTGCTATCTATCGAACCGTTTGAAGATCAGGTTTGAGGACTGAGTTCTAACTTAATGAGTCCTCAATAACTGTAAACAAATGAAGGCTTCTCTCTTTCTCCGCCAGAAAATGTATTTGAAACAATCTAAACTATTTTCCAACATTTATAATTTAACTATTAGTGTAAAAATAGCATTTGTTTAATTAAGCATTAGTAGTAATGTTAACCAATATGAAGATTGCTCTGGATGTAGTACGTGCCAGTAGCATAAAGCAACTTGGAGCTGTCAAGGCTGGTCTGTACCACGTACTCCGGTATACTGGTCTATTGTTTGTTTGTTTTTGAATTTCGCGTAAAGCTACATGAGGGATATCTGCGCTTGCCGTCCCTAATTTAGCAGTGTAAGACTAGAGGGAAGGCAGCTAGTCATCACCACCCTCCGCCAACTCTTGGGCTACTCTTTTACCAACGAATAGTGGGATTGACTGTCACATTATAACGCCCCCACGGCTGAAAGGGCGAGCATGTTTGGTGGGACGGGGATTCGAACCCGCGACCCTCAGATTCTGGTCTATTGACATACGAACTAGAGAGGCTGAAAGGTGTGTAAATAAGCGTGGGGCATTGGAGCACATTAATAAGCTGCGTTCATACATCAAAGATAAACCACTGTACTCTAGCTTGATCAAGATTGTAAACACTGAGACCAATGAATTGGAGGAAAATGAGGATGCTGTATGAAGTCATACTTTTCATGAAGCACTGGAACTGGAGGCAAAAGGCTTTTCTAACAGTCAGCGCAATCATTATAGGTAGGACTAAACAATCACCAACTGACTGAAAGAAGATAGCAATCCTTGCTCTCCAAGAATCAAGTAATGTTTATGGTAAAATATGTGAACTACATTGCCTAATTTCCCTTTGCTTATTTAAAGTTAGGGAAGTTTGTTGATTGTAAGATTAACGGGACCAAAAGGCATAGGCACCC